TTAAATGTTATTTTGGGGTAAGCTTGGGGACTTAAAAAGGGTTTTTGCCTAAATTTTTTGTTTTTATTATGAATTTTTTTTTGATCGGCAAAATGAATATTATTAGAAATAAAAATATGAGTACAAGGGGTACTCCACCCGTTACATCATTTTACAAAATACCCGTCAATCGCTGTGCAAAAACAGTCAAAATCCCTTTTCATTTACATGCTTCCCTGGGGTTCACAAGCCATAATTCCTTAGCCAAATCTGTATTGTGCTTGGCCCTAATCCAATTAAGTGAACGCAGCTTTATAAAGTCCACCACTATAGCTGGAGTGTCATTACCTTCTTTGAAAATTAGTTGATTTCTCCACAACCAATGGACCAAATAATTGTAAACCATATCACATACCAAATTTCCTTCACTTTCTTGTTTTGCGCCATACCCATGTGTTGTTGCAAATGCTTCCAGCCTTCACTCGTAAAGACAGCCTGTAATCCCCACCACGCGTAAGCTGCATGCCAGATTGCCCAAGTTGCATCACAAGTGAAGAATAAATGGCTGACTGTTTCAGTTTGTTTGCCACAGAAGATGCATGTAAAATCAGAATTTGATCCATCTACTCCTCTTTTTAACAGGTTATCTCCAGTGGGGATTTTGTTTTGCATAACTTTCCATACAAATGCAGAGACTTTAAGAGGCACCATCTTATTCCATAGCATACTAAACCTTCTTGCGTCTGTCTCTCTATTGCTGTTCTTTAATAGGATGTATGCAGATTTTGTTGAGTACGTTCCCTTCGAATCATGCTTCCACCTCCAGGAATCATGTTGTCCTTGTTCTAGCTTGCTCCCATTCAGTAGCCTGTAAAGATCTTGTACTAGTGTATCTTCACGTCCTAACAATTCCCGACTCCACCTCCATTTCCAAATCCATTCTCCATTTCTCCATTCACCCATATTTTTAACTAAAGCATCCGTATCTTCTGCCAATCTAAATAATCTTTGAATTTCTCCCTAAAAGGCACATCCCCACACCATTTCTCATGCCAAAACAAGGTATCATTCCCCTCCCCCACTGTTTTTACTACTCCCTTGTACACCCATCCTTCATTACTTCCTCTTTCTTCATCTAATTTCCACAATGCCTTCCACCAATATGAGCTATTCATTTTTACCTCCCTCCCCTCCTAATCCCTTCTCCTATGAAACCCATATTTGGCCTCAACTACCCTGTTCCATAGAGCTTCTTTCTCCACCACCAATCTCCATCGCCACTTTCCTAAGAGCGCCATATTAAATCTATCCAAGTCCTTAACACCTAATCCCCCATTCTTCCTACTATTGCATACTTTCTCCCAACTTACCCAAGCAATCTTCCTATCCGCCCCTTTACCCCCCCCATAAGAATGATCTTTGAATTGAGGAAAGAAGTTTAATAACCTGTTTAGGGGCTCTCATAGTAGAGAAGAAATAGACTGGGATACTTGATAGGGCAACATTCAATAGAACGATTCTACCACCGAAGGATAGCGATTCACATTTCCAATTTGACAATTTACGTCTCAAGCAGTCTACAACAGGTGTCCAGGCTGATAAGTTTCTCGGGTTGGCCCCGACTGGGATTCCGAGGTATTTGAAAGGGATAGAACCCTCCACACAATTAAGAGATTCGGCCCATTCACTGATCTCCTCACTCTTTACATTGATACCATATAGGGCACTTTTGAAGAAATTCACCTTGAGTCTTGAAACCAGTTCAAAAGTACGGAGAATCCCCTTGATTGTCTTTATATTCTCATCTGATGCCTCACAAAAGAATATAGAGTCGTTAGCAAATTGTAAGTGTGTGACCTCCATTCCTTCTGTTCCCACTGTTACTCCATTGTACATCTCTTCCTCTTTTGCTTTGAGAATAAGCCCATTAAGTGCTTCGGCAACCAGAAGAAATAAGAATAGGGCTAATGGATCACCTTGTCGCAGTCCCTTCTTTATACTGAATTCCTCTGTGGGGCTACCATTCACCAGAACTGATACCGATGAAGTAGATAAGCATTCCTTGATCCACCTTCTCCATTTCAAGCAGAATCCTAGCTTTTCCATCATCAAATCTAAAAAATTCCAGTTGACACTATCATAAGCTTTTTCAAAGTCAGCTTTGAATATTAAGGTGGGCCTCTTTCTTTTCTTTGCTTCATGAATGACTTCATTAGCTATCACGATGCCATCAACGATATGCCTCCTTCCTACAAATGCTGACTGATTCTGGCTAATGATAGACGGCATCACTTTCCTCAATCTGTTAGCAAGAAGCTTAGCTATTATTTTATATAGGCATCCAATCAGGGATATAGGCCTAAAATCCCCCAATCCCTGGGGAGATTCTTTCTTTGGGATTAAGACAATAAAAGACGAGTTGCTTCCTTTCACCAATTTCCCATTCACCCAAAATTCTTTGACAAAAGCCACTACATCCTGCTTTATAGTTGGCGATAATCTTTTAATGAAGTTGAAGTTGAATCCGTCTGGTCCAAGGCTTTTACTTCCATTGCAGTTCCACACGGCCTCCTTTATTTCTTCCTCTGTAAACTGTGCAGTCAGCCAATTGTTCTCTTCTGAGCTCAGTTGTTTCAAATCATTAAACTCAAGGCTAGGTTTGCTCCACTCATCCTCTTGGAACTTTAGTTCATAGTACTCTTTGATGAATTTTTTCACCTCTGAGACTTCCCCGATCCAAACATTATTCCTCATAATCCCATCAATCCCATTACTCTTTCTTCTCTTAGCTATACACCCATGGAAGAATTTACTATTAGCATCTCCTTCTTGAAGCCATTTCTGTCTTGACTTCTGGAACAACAAGCTATCTTTCCTAGAACACCATTCCCAGAATTGCTGGAAGCAGGTTTGTCTCTGCTCAATCTCACTACTTGATAGCACTCCATTCTCGGCTTTATCATCGAGCTTCTTTATCTCATCTCTAATTTCCTCCATCTTCCTATCAATGTGGCCAAATACCTCCTTATTCCACTTCTTCAAGTCATTCTTCAGCAATTTAAATTTCTCCTTCAACTTGAATCCTTCCCATCCTTCCACTATATAGCTGCTCCATTTTTCCTGAACAAAAGAACTAAACTCCTTGAGCTCTAACCAACAATCAAGGCTTCTAAAGGGCTTTGGCCCCCAATCCATGCTGGAGCTGATTAGCACTATAGAACAATGATAAAAAATATCTCTCTTTAGACCTTTCTGAATGAGTTCTGGGAAATTAATAAGGAACTTTGTGGACACCAAGAATCTATCCAACCTGCTCGTTGCTGTTCCATCAGATTTGAACCATGTGAACTTCCTTCCCCTCAATGGCAAATCTACTAGCCCTGTTTCCTCAATAAAACAATTGAAAGCTCTCATGGCTAAGTCATCAAAAGATCTTCCCCTTTTTTCTTCCCTATTATGAATTGCATTAAAGTCACCTCCTATGCACCAATTCCCTTCACCATACTCATACATTAAATTTGAAATCTCATTCCAAAGCAACTGTTTACCATGATTCTCACATGGAGCATATACGTTCAGAAAATAACATGGAATTTTGTCTTTCCCCCAAACTCCATACATGCCACAGAACCCACTACCCACTAGTTCTTTACTTACGTCAAACAGGTTAGAATTCCACAAGCATAAAATCCCTTCGGCTCTCCCTTGAGCTGATTTCATAACCCAATTACAGTTATCCCCACCCCAAATAGATCTGCATTTTCTAACATCACATACCTCCATTTTGGATTCTTGAATGAAGACTATATCTGCTCCTTCCTTCTTGATTAAATCCCTCACTCCTCTCCTTTTTTTGCTGTCTCCCAAACCCCTAGCATTGATCGATAAGACCTTCATGAGCAATTCACCGGTTCCCCTTTGTTAGCTGACACAGCCATTTTTTGGGTAGCAAGCGCAGCACGATCCCTTTCCTCCATCTCCTTGAGTCTTTGGATAACCTCGTCTGCATTATTCTTGTCAACTAAACCCAGCTGCTTTCCCACCGACCATAGCTCTTCTGCTTCTCGCCAGCAGCTTTTCTTCGCACCTTGCTTCTGGGTTGAATTATCTATTTGGCTGTTGCATGCATCACCCCTCTTGGTTATAGCTTCGCTAGGTGAGACCCGATTTCTGCTCTCTTTCTTCTTCTGCCTTCTAATCTCAATCCTTTTCCTCATCCTTCTCTCCATCTGTCTTTTTCTCTTTCTATCTCTTGCGAGCCTTTCTGCCCTAGACTGCAAGATTTCGTCTTCACTCGCTAACCTTTCCCAAAATGGTTGGGTTTCCCGATCCTCTTCCTCCTGAATTTTTCTTGCGTCTACCCTGTTCCTCGCATTTTCTTCTGAGATTTGATTTAGATTTTCTCCGATACTAGCCATCTCTTTCCTTCTTGATCTTAATTCTTCAAAGGCCCTCTTGTTGCTGCTAGATTTAGGAGATGCTAAAGTACCCTTCTTGGCCTTTTCTCCACATGTGGGCCAAGCCTTGTTTTGGTTAAGCTGTCCTTGGCCCAATTCCAAGGAGTTCTGCCTTGGGCCATTACCCGGGTTTGGTTGGTTATGGGTATTTTGAGGTCCAGTGCTTCTCTGTTTGCTGCCATTCTCCTTATCTTCTGAGAAATCAATAGCATTTTCCAATGCAACAACTGCTCCTCTCGCCTCGAGTTCCTCTCTAACCACCACAAAATTTGAATTTTGATTGACTGCATTAAATGAGACATCATGAGTAAGAGGCTTGTTCGATACTCCATCTTTTTCCTTTCCTGTTGTTATTGATCTTTCTGGTTCAACAGGAGCAACTTCCACCACCACCGGGCGTTGCAGCACCTCGTCTTCATCCTCTATTACTTGCCATTCGTCTTCCCATTCCTCCTCATTACAGAATTCGCCATTAGACTCATCCGACCACTCCTCCGAGTTTGATACTCCATCACTAATCAAATTGAAATCAGATTTCAAATTAAATATATTATCAACTCCAACCTCCTCACTAACCCGAATCTAGAAAATTTTCTCTCCAACTTTGACTCTTAGGACTTTCTGTATATTTTCCTGAACAGGAGTCAAGATAAGGATTTTTGCCACATCCAATCTTTTCTTTTTAATTGTGCTGTCATCCAAGGAGATGAATTTCCCACATAAACAGGCCACAGTTTCAAAAAAGCTGCTTTTCCAGATGTGTAGAGGAACACCTTGGCATCTTAACCAAGTAAACCTCTCCATAGCTACTTCATTAGGGTTCCATGGTCTCACGTCGGAAAACCATTGAGCTAGCCAATCCTTCCCCTGTTCTACTAAGTGTTTTAGCTCTTCGGAGTCCACGGATGAGATCAAGACCAAGCTCCCTCCCATAGGAGTTACTTTTGCTGAGAAGTATCCCTCCATGAGAAATTTGTCTTGAAGAGTGCTAATGATCACCGGGTTTTTTGCTGTACCCACAAAACAATCCCGAAGCCATTTCAGTTCTTCTTCCTCTGCCTGCATCTCAAGCCCCTGCCATTGCCCCTGTTCTGACTTCCTCTTAAACCTCTCAGTTCCCCGGTCTTGTTTCTGTTCCCTACTTAATACTTCAGTTTGGTTTCTTACACCATTTATGATGGGAATCAAGATGACCCCACATGTACCACGTCAAGAGAGCCATTACATAT